CTTGAAGGCAGCTGGGAGAGGTAAGGGATGAAGACGAGCACAAGCTGGGACCTCGCCACCCCACCCTGCTGTGGGCTTCCCTTGTGCCCAAGTGATGAGTTTTTAACTCCGCTCTACGTTTTCCCCCTTCCAGCGGGAAATCCTTGGAGCCTTCGGCTGAGCTGGAGGACCCCAAGCCCAGCAGAAAGCAGGTAATGGGCAGCGCGGGACGGTTCATGTCCCCCCCGTGCCCCTTCTGGTTGGGGTGCATTAGTTGAAGGTCTGTGTGGGGAAGCTGAGGAAGCAGGATGGTTTGGAAGGGGTTTTGGTGTGTATGAGGAGGAGCAACCTCCTCTGCCCATGCACGTGGGGTCTCCCCAGGCCTCCCTGCTGTATTTGCATTTGCACACCTCCCTGAGCAATTCCTCAACGTGGAGGTTGGTGCCAGCATCACCAGCTCCCTCCAACCCCATCTGACTCCTGGGCCACCTCCTGGGCTGGAGGCTCACAAAGATGGACCCAGGCACTGGGAGGGCACTGGGGCTGTTCTCCTACAGCAAAGACCTTTAGCGCGGTGCCCGCATGAGAAGGTGGGTCTGTAAGCCCTGATCCTCCCAGCTGCTCTCCAAAGGGTGTTCTGCAGCAGGAAGCCAAGGCACGAGGCTGTGCCCTGCCTGAGTGACCCAGCAGAATGCGTGATGTACAAGGAGCTTTTCTGTCCTTGAGTTTGTCCTCTCCTTCGTGCCTGCTGAGGCGTGGAGATGTCGGAGGGAAAGTAGACGCAGGCTGGAGACTGAACTGAGGTCCTCCTCCCCTCCAGCCCCGCGTGTGCCGCCGCTCGGTGATGGCCAGAGCAAAGGCAGACCCCAAGTATGGAGAGATCTTCCGCTTCGACACTCCGGTGCTGATGTGGGACCAGCACTTCACCCCGGAAACCTGGGACAGACTGAAGACACGACACGTCCCCTACGGCTGGCAAGGCTTGTCCCATGCAGGTACGGACCCCGGCGGGGTGGGGGTGGCAGCAGATGGGACAAGGGGGCACTGGGAGGGAGCCCAGCAGAAGGGACTGAAGAGGCCCCGCAGAGGAGCCAGGGACCTTGATCTCTTCCCACTGCACCTCCCAGGGCACAGAATGGAGGGAGCGGCTTTGCAAACGCCTCTTGCTGCATCTTGTGACATTTTCCCCGAATAAAAGCCCCAGTGTGCGCGTGATTATTAACTGGGGCCGGAGGGGCTCGGACAACGTGCTCCATTGTCATGGACGGAGATTGTTTCCCTTCCTACCCCAAACCCCCACTCTCTGCTCTTCCCAGCAGCCGCTGGCTTCCATCCCTGGGCTGGGAGGTGCTGGGGGATGGCAGAGGGAAAGCGATCCGGTGGCATTTGGAAGGAGACATTGTCGGGAGGGGACACGGGCAGCACCATCGGTGGGGCTGGGGCTGGAGCTGTCT